AGGTCCATGAATTCCAGGAATATCCCTGATATTAACCATAACACTTATTCTAATGCTTATACTAACCATGATTCCCACACTCCAATAGCCAGGTAAGTGTAAGCCAACACTATCAGTAACTCTTACAATAACACAAAGCACAACCCTAAGAATCAAACCCAAACTCCAGACCTTCCAACCTCATGTCTGGTGCATGTGCTTGCCTGGCCTGCAGTCCCCTGCTCCTTCCATCCCATCAACTGTCACTTGCCCCTCGCCAGTCCCCGCTGAGGCTGCAGTAGGCAGGGGTTCCACTCCAGTCCCCCATGGCTAGTCCAGGAGGCCCTGAGCCCCATGGGCGAGAGCGTGCACATGGCATGTTCCACAGTCAGGGTGGGCCCCATCCTGCCCTGGCCTGGCCAAGGCAGTTGCGTGAGTCATGCACTCGGGTATGGGGCACCTCAGTTTGGCATGAGCCTGTGGAGAGCCCACCAGGGATGCCTGAGCTGCGTGTCTGCCTCTGCAGCTGCCTACCATCACGACCTGTGGGAAAGTTGAGGAGGGCAGCTGGAAGAAGTTCATCTGGAACTCGGAGAAGAAAGAGTTCCTGGGCTGGACCAATGGCAGCTGACTTAAGATCCTTCTGTTCTACATGATATTTCATGGCTGCCTAGCCAGGATCTTCATTGGAGCCATCCAGGTGATACTGTTGACCATCAGTGAACTGAAGCCTACCTACCAGGACCAGGTGGCCCCAGCAGGATTAAAGCAGGTTCCTCAGATCCAAAAGACTGAAATTTCCTTTCTTCCTGCTGATCTTAAGAGCTATGAGGCCCATATGCTGAACATAGTTAGGTTCCTGGGCAAGTACAAAGAAATGGCCCAGAAGGATGACATGATTTTTGAGGACTGTGGCACTGTGCCCAGTGAACCCAAAGAACGAGGAGACTTTAGCCATGAATGAGGTGAGCAAAAGGTCTGCACGTTCAGGCTTGACTGGCTGGGAAACTGCAGGATGAAAGTTATGGCTACAAAGAAGGCAAACCCTTTATCATCATAAAGCTCAATTGAGTTCTGGGCTTCAAACCAGAACCTCCCAAGAATGAGTCCTTGGAGTCTGTGGAGACTTACACCAGGGTGAGGTACAACTGGTACCTTCTGCCTGTTCAGTGCAAGCAAGAAGAAGATAAGGATAAAATTGGAATTGTGGAATACTTCAGAATGGGCAGATACACTGTTTTCCTGTGCAGTATTGTCCCTACTATGGCAAACTCCAAATATCTGTAGCCCCTGCTGGCCATACGGTTCACCAACCTCACCGTGGACACTGAAGTTCACATTGAGTGTAAGGCATATGGTGAGAACATTGGGTACAGTGAGAAAGACCATTGTCAGGGATGCTTTGATGTAAAAATTGAAGTTAAGAGCTGATCACATGCACAAATCCTCCCCACTAACCATTTAATAAGTTAAAAAATTACAAAAACAAAAACACTACTAGTCTTTGACAAACTGTCATATTTATGGGACCTACACTTAATTTATATGCTTTACACTAGTGCTCTGCATTTAATAGGTTAGAATGTAAATTTAAAGTGTAGCAATAGCAACAAAATATTTACTCTACTGTAAATGACAAAAAATAAAAATTGAGCCTTGGGATGTGCCCATTTTTACTGTAAATTATGATTCCATAACTGACTTGTAGTGAGCAGTGTTTCCGGCCCCTAAGTATTGCTGTCATGTGTATTTTATTTAGTGTACAGCACTATAGGTGCACACTCTGGTCATTTTTCTAGCATGTTTTATCATATCTGTTTTCTACTTTATGTGAACAAGGTTTGCTGTCCAAGGTGTAAATATTCAATGGGACTAAAACTGGCAAGGTACTTTTTTTTTTCGTTTTTGTTTGGCTGTTTCAAAGATAATGGCCCATCAATGAGCATTTTTAACACTCCATTGTCTCTCCCTGTGATATTAGGTATTACTTTTTTTTCCTGGGGCTTGGGGGGTGGGCTGTCATGGGGGAACTGCCCTTTAAATTTTAAGTGACACTACAGAAAAACACAAAAAATGTGATGGGTTGCGTTGTGCTTTGTACTGAATGCTGTCTTGACATCTCTTCCCTGGTCCTCCAGTGTGTTCTGAAGCTGGGTCTGAGATCTGGCTCCACCTATCACTTTGGTTAGTGACAGGGCTAATTAGTTTGCTTTGTACATTTTCTTTTCCTTTTTTCCTTTCTCTGGAGGCATCACATGCTGGTACTGTGTCTTTATGAATGTTTTAACCATGGTGGAAAAATTTCATATTTATGCAGTTGTACAATTTTATTTTTTCTGCAAGAAAAAGTGTAATGTATGAAATAAACCAAAGTCACTTGTTTGAAAATAAATCTTTATTTTGAACTTTGTAAAAAACAATGCAGTACCCCACAGACTGGTGTTAAATGTTGTCTACAGTGAAAATCCATGTTCTAACATATGTAATAATTGCCAGGAGTACAGTGCTCTCGTGGATCTTGTATGAGTCAAGTTAAAACAACGGACAGTAAAATAATGAATGCACACGCGCACACACACACACACACACAAAGAATCAAACCAAATTCAAAAATGGAAGTACATGAATTTAAATCCTAAACCAAACCCTAACCCTAACCCTAACCCTAACCCTAACTCTAACCCACATACCCACAATACAATATCCAGGCACTTATATTTCTACACTACCATTAATCCTAATCCTAAAACTAATGTTAACACTAACTTTCAAAACCACACTTCAATACACAGATTCTTAAATTCTGAAACTATTCCTAACCTGAAAACTAACAATAATGCTAACCCTAACCCTACCAACCATAGCTACACTGGAATGCTCATATATTGAAATCCAACGTGATACCAATCTGTAACACTAACGTTAACCCTGACTATCATGCTCACACTCAAATAATCAGGTACTTGAATTTCAACACTATCCTCAACCCTAACACTGACGCTAACACTAACCATAATACCCATATGCCAATATTCAAGTACCAGATTTCCATAACTATATGTAACTCTTACCTTAACACAAACCCAAAGCTAACATTCATATCCACACTGCAAAACTCAGGTATATGAATTTCAACCCAAAACCTAACCCTAAACTTAACCCTGAGATTAACCATTATATCCACAATCCAACATACAGGTAGTTGAATTCCTACACTATTCCAAAAAGTAATGCTAATACCAACTATCAGACCAATGCACCAATAAACAGGCACTTAAATTCCAAGAATATCACTTACCCCAACCCTAACCTCAACCCAAACCCTAACCCTAAAGCTAACAGTATCAATAATAGTCACACTGCATTACAGTTTCTTCAAATCCAAAAATATACCTAACACTAAAACTAGTCCTACCCCTAACCATCATACTCACACTCCAGTAATCAACTTGAATTCCAACCATATCCCAAACCTAACCCTACACCTAACTCTACCCCTAACACTACTCATCATAGTCACATTGAAATGCTCTGATACTTGAAATCCAACACTGTACCTCACCCTAACACTAAACCTAACACTAACATTCATACTCAAACTGCAATAATAAGGTACTTGAATTCCAACCTGTTCCCTTGCCCTATCTCTAACCCTAACCCTAGCCCTAATACTAAACATATTTCACACACTCCAATAGTCAGGTGCCTGCATTATGACACTACCTGTAACCCTTACCCTAACACTAACCCAAAAACTAACAATCAAAACCACACTCAAAACTCAGGTAGATGAATTTGAACTCTAAACTTAACCCTAACCCTAACTCTAACCCTCATACCCACAATCCAATACCCAGGTACTTGTATTTCTACACTATCCCTAACCAAAATCCTAAAACTAACATTAACAATAACTTTCAAATCAACACAGAGATGCTTAAATTCTGACACTATTCCTAAATGGAACCCTAAATCTGACCCTAACCCTAACCCTAACTCTAACACTAGCAGGCTTAACCATGCTGAAATGCTTATGTATTGAAACCCAACAGGATACAAATCCCTAACACTAATCATAACCCTTACCATCATGGTCACACTCAAATAATGAGGTACTTGAATCCCAAAACTATCCTTAACCTTAACACTGACCCTATCACTAACCATAATAACCACACTTCAATAATTAGTTACCTGAATTTCAACACTATCTGTAATCCTTACCCTAACACTAACCCAAAAACTAACATTCATACCCACACTTCAAAACTCAGGTGTATGTATTTGAACCCTGAATGTAACCCTGAACCTAACTCTAACCAAAACCCTAACCCTAACTCTACCCAACATAGCCACATTGCAATGCTCAAGTACTTGAAATCCCACATGGTACCTCACCTTAACACTAAACCTAACCCTAACCATTATATAGGGACTTAAATTCCAAGACTATGAATTCATAACCCCGAACCCAACACCAACCATAACCCAAAAGCTAACACTAAATCTACAACTCATATACACAGGGTAATATTCAGGTTCTTCAAATCCAAAACTATATGTAACCTTTAAACTAATCCTAATCCCTAACCATCATACTCACACTCCAATAATCAGGTAATTGTATTCCAACCATATCCCTAACCCTCAGGCTAACCCCAACCCTAACCTGAACCAAAAACCTAAAACTACCTGTCATAGAAACATTGTAATGCTCAGCTAATTGAAATTGAACAATGTACCTCACAATAACACTAAATCTAACCCTAGTGTTCATATTTACACTAAAATAATCAGGTACTTGATATTCCACCATATTCCTAACCCTAAAAGCCCTAACCCTATGCATCATAGCCACATTGCATGATCAGGTAATTTAAACCAAACATTTTACCTCACCCTAACTCTAAACCTGTTACTAACATTCATACTCATACTACAAAAATTAGGTACGTGAATTCTACCTAGATCCTTTACCGTATCTCTAACCTTAACCCTCACCATAACCCTAACACTAAACATAATTCACACACTCCAATAGGCAGGTATATAAATTCCAACACTATTTGTAAGCCTTATCCTGACAGGACCTCAAAAACGAACATTCATATCCACACTCAAATACTCAGGTAAATGAATTTGAACCATAAACCTAAGCCTGACCCTAACCATCATGTTCAAAATCCATATCCCAAACCCTAACCCTAACCCTAAATACTCAGGTAAATGAATTTGAACCATAAACCTAAGCCTGACCCTAACCATCATGTTCAAAATCCATATCCCAAACCCTAACCCTAACCCTAACCCTAACACAAACCATGATTTCCACATTCCAACAGGTAGGTATGTGAATGCCAACACTATTCAAAGCCCTTACAATAACAGGAATACGAAGCCTAACAATCACACTCAAACTCCAAAGCCAATTCACATGAATTTGAACCCTAAAAATAATCTTAAACATAGCCCTAACTGTAACCCTCATACCCACAATCTAATACCCAAGTATTTGTATTTCTACACTATCCCTAACCCTAATGCTAAAACTGACATTTACACTAACTTTCAAAACCATACTACTACAATACTAGGATTTTTAAATCCTGACACTATTCCTGAACTGCACCTTTAATATAACCCTAAACCTAACCCTATCCCTAAATGCTAGCAGTCAGCCACACTAAAATGCTCTGTATCGAAATCCAACAGGATACCAATCCCTAACACTAATCATAACCCTTACTATCATGCTCACACTCAAATAACCAGGTAGTTGAATTCCACCACCAACCTTAACCCTAACACTGACCCTGTCACTAACCATAACACCCCCACTTCAATAATCAGGGACCTGAATTTAAACACCATCTGTAACCCTTACACTAACTTGAACTCAAAAACTAACATTCATACCCACACTTCAAAACTCAGGTAGGGGCTGGGGATTTAGTTCAGTGGTTCCACCACCTGCCTTGCAAGCACAAGGTTCTGAGTTTGATCCCTGGTAACAAACAAAACAAAACAAAACAAAACCCCCAAAAACCCTCAGGTATATGAATTTGAACCCTGAACCTAACCCTAACCCTAACCATCATATCCATTAATACACTACAGAGGTGGTTGAATTCTGACACAATCCCTAAACCTAACCCTAAAACTAAAGCGAACAGTAACAATCAAACCCACACCCCAATCACAGGTACTTCAATTGTAAGACTATCACTTACCCCAAACATAACCCTGTCTAAAACTCTAAACCTAACACTATCAGTAATAGCCACAATTCATTACTGAGGACCTTCAAATCTAAACATATACCTAACCCTAACACTAATCCTAACCCTAACCATCATACTCACACTTCAATAATCAGGTACTTGAATTTCAAACAGATCTCTTACCCTAACACTAACCCTAAACCTAATGCTCACCATAACACTAAGCATAATCCATACCCTCCAATAGTCAGCTGCCTAAATTTGATCAGTATCTTTAACCCTCACCCTAACATGAACTCAAAAACTAACATTCATATCAACACTCCAAAACTCAGGTACATGAATTTGAACCCTAAACCTAACTCTGATCATCATATTCACACTCTAATTTATAGAAACTTAAATCCAAGACTATTACTGACACCAACACCAACCCTAAACCTAAGGCCTAACCCTAATGCTAACACTAGCCCTAGAAATAACACTAACAGTCATATGCACAGGGTAATACTAAGGTTATCCAAATAAAAAAAACATACCTAACCCCTTAAGTAGTTCTAACCCTAACCATCATACTCACATGCCAATAATCAGGTATTTGAATTTCAACCATGTCCCTAACCCTTACCATAACCCCAATATTACCCCAAACCCAAACCATAACACTACACATCATAGCTGCACTCCAATGCTCAGGTTCTTGAAATCAAACAACGTGCCTCACCATAATACTAACCCTAACTCTAATCTTCATACTCACACTACAACCATCAGGTACTTGAACTCTAAATATATCCATAAACATAAACCTAACACTAACCCAAAAACTAACCATGATACCCACACTGCAATATTCAGGTATGTGAATGCCAACACTATATTAAACTCTTACAATAACACAAACCCTAAGCCCAACAATAAAACCCAAACTCCAAAGCTGAGGCACATGAATTTGAATCCTAAACCTCATCCTAAAACTAACCCTTACCCTAACTCTAACCCTCATAGCCACAATCCAATATCAAGGTACTTGGATTTCAACACTATCTCTAACCATAATCCTAAAACTAACATTAACACTAAATTTCAAAACCACATTGCAAAAGACAGATTCTTACATTTTTTTTGTACCAGGATCTAACGCAAGACCTTGTGCTTGCGAGGATTAAATTCTGACACTATTCCTACACCTAACCCTAACCTTAACCCTAACACTAACGAATATAGCCACACTGAAATGCTTACTTATAGAAATCCAACAAGACACCAATCACTAACACTAACCCTAACTCTGACCATCATGCTCACACTCAAATAATCAGGTACTTTAATTCCAACACTATCCTTAACACTAACACTGACCCTAACATTAACAGTAATAGCCATACCCAAATACTCAAGTACCTGAATTCCAACACTATCTGTAAGCCATATCCTAACACAAACCTAAAAACATTCACACCCACACTCCAAACCTCAGGTATATGAATTTGAACACTGAATGTAACCCTAAACCTAACCCTATCCATAACCAACATATCCACAATCCAATACACAGGTAGTTGAATTTGTACACTAGCCCTTACATCAAGCCTAAAATCAATGCTAATATTGTCAAACTCACCCCAATAACAGGTACTTAAATTCCAAGATTATCAGGTACCATAACCCAAACCTTAACCCTAACCCTAATACTATCAGTAATAGCCACAGTGCATTACTGAAGATCTTCAAATCCAACAATATACCTAACCCTAACACTAATCCTAACCCTACCCATCACACTCACACTCCAATATCAGGTACTTGAATTCCAATCATATCCTGAACCCCAAACCTAACCTTAACCCTAATTCTAACACTACACATCATAGCCACATTGCAATGCTCAGGTACTTGAAATCCAACAGTGTACCTCACCCTAAAATTAAATCTACCCCTAAGCATCATACTCACATACAGGCTTGAATTCCAAGACTATCACTTACCCCAACATCAACCCTAACCCTAAACCTATCACTAACTCTAGACCTAACACTAACACTAAGCATGATTATCACACTCCAATAGTCAGGTGTCTGAATGCCAGTACTATCTGAAACTCTTACAAGAACATGAACCCTAACCTTAGCAATCAAACCTACACTCCAAAACTGAGGTACATGTATTTGAACCCTAAGCCTAACCCTAAACATAGCCCTAACCCTAACTATCACCCTCATATCCACAGCCAGTAGCCAGGTACTTGTATTTTACACTATCCCTAACCCCATTCCTAAAAACTAATGTTAACACTAACTTTCAAAACCACACTTGAATACACAGATTCTGAAATTCTGATATTCCTAACCCTAACCTTAACCCTAACCCTATCACTACCTATCATAGCCACACTGAATTGCTCACATATTGAAATCCAACAGGATACCCATCCCTAACATGAAAGCTAACCCTGAGCATCATGCTCACACTCAAATAATCAGGTACTTGAATTCCTACACTATCCTTAACCCTAACACTGACACTAACACTAACCATAATATCCACACTTCAATAGTCTGTTAACTGAATTCCAAGACTATTTGTAACTTTTACCCTAACATGAAACCCAAAAGTAACATTCATACCCACACTCAAAAACTCAGGTATATGACTTTGAACCCTAAAGCTAACTCTAAAGCTAACCCTAATCCTAACCATCATATCCACAATCCAATACACAGGTAGTTGAATTCCTACACTATCCCTAACCCTAACTGTAAAACTAACTCTAATACTAACCATCAAAGCCACACTCCAATACAAAGGTACTCAAAGTCCAAGACTGTTGCTTACCCCAACAATAACCCTAACCCTAACTAAACTTAAAACTACCAGTAATAGCCATCCTGAAATACTCAGGTTTTTCAAATGCAAAAATATACCCAACTGTAACACTCACCCTAACCCTAAGCATCCATACTCACACAACAATAATCAGTTACTTGAATTCCAACCATATCCCCAACCCTAACCCTAACCCTAACACTAACCATCATAACTACATAGCAATGCTCAGGTTCTTGAAATACAACATAGTAACTCACCCTAACACTACACCTAACACTAACATTTGTACTCAAACTTAAATAATCAGGTATTTGAAATCCAAACAGACCCCTTACCCTAACTCTAACCTTAACCATAACTCTAACCCTAATACTAAACATACTTCACATACTCCAATAGTCTGGTTCCAGAATTCCAACACTGTTACACTTACCCTAACATGATCTCAAAAACAAATATTCATATCTACAATCCAAAACTCAGCTACAAAAATTTGAACCCTATAATGAACCTGAAACCTAACCATAATAATTACACTCACACTCCAAAACACAGAAACTTAAATTCCAAGACTATTACTTAAACCAAAAGCAAGCCCTAACTGTAATCCTAACCCAAACCCTAGCCTTAACACTACCAGCCAGATCCACAGGGTAATGCTAAGGTTCTCAAAATAAAAAAATATACCTAATTCTTAAAGTAATCTTAACCCTAACCATCATACTCACAGCCCAATAAACAGGTAATTAATTGTATTCCAACCATGTCCCTAACTCTAAGGCTAAACCCAACACAGACCCAAATTGAAACCCTAACACTACCCATCATAGCCACACTGTAATGGTCAGGTACTTGAAATCCAAAAATCTACTTCATCATAACACTAATCCAAAGCAAAATCTTTGCACTCACACTACAACAAATCAGGTACTTGAATTCCAACCATATCCCTAACCCTAACCCTAACCCTATCATGACCAGTCATAGACACATTGCAATGCTCTGATACTTGAAATCCAACACTGCACCTCACTCTAACATGAAAACTAACACTAACCTTCATACTCAAACTGCTTTTCCCTGCACCTGAGATCTCAGAGGCCATCTCTGCCTCCAAAGCCCGTGACCCTCACACTCACCAGGCGGAAACTGCCTCCCACGCCACTTCCTCTTTGTTCCCGGTGTCTTGAGGTCCTGCAAACACAAACAAACGCACGCACACATACAACAGTCATGACCTGAACTCACCTCAAGACCCAGTACAAACCCTGGTGCCAATGGAAGTGAATGAATGGCTCTCTCCGTGAGACAACAGGATGCATGGGGGAACATCCTTGGGAGATTCAGACTGTCTCCTAAGGAACGGGAAGACTTCCTCACTTCCCTCCCTGGGCAAACCATGAGAGACAGAATGGTACCAACGCATGCACACAGACACGACACGTGGACACAGGGAACAGAATAGAGGGTGCACAAACAACCCCAAAAACCTTCAGCCACTGGATCTTGGACAAAGGGGCCAATAACCTAGGCTGGAGAAAACACAGGCCACAGACAAATGGCGCCGGGACAACTGGTGGTCCACGTGCACAGGACCAACTCTGCCCATCTCTCTCACCCTGTGCCAAAAGCAAACCCCACTGGACCATAGATCCGGGGATGAAAACACATACTGTTGAACATAAAGCCTAGGCACAGACGTCCTCAGCAGAATGCCTACTGTATATATAATAGTGACAGTCTACAAAATCTACAAGTGGGACTGGATCCAATCATAAACCTTCTGCAAAGTACAGGCAACCACCAAGAGGACAAGGGACAGACCTACCAAGTGAGAAAGACATTTTTGCCAGCGAATGCCTCAGACAGAGGCAGAATTTCGAGAAAGAGGAGAACTCAAAGACATCCGATGTGAAATATAAAAGGTCCTGGCGTGCCCACTGTGGGACACACCTGACCTCTGTGTTTCACTCCTTTCCTACAGCTTGACTCACGGCACTGACTGGGCAACTGCAACCAACACTTCCCTGTGAAAAGCCGGAGAAATGGTTAATAGGTACATGACATGAAACACCAATCGATACAACACCAGAGTCTGTCTTATTCCAGTCAAGAGTGTCTACCAGGGAGAATGAGTGCTTGAGAGCTTGTCGGGCAAAAGGACCCTTCTGCTTTGCTTGGGAGAATACAAACTAGTACCACCCCATTGGAAATGAGGGTGGATGTGCCTCAAAAAACTCAGAAGAGAATTCCACTGGACCCAGCTACTCCTCTCCTGGGCATCTGCACGAGAGAGTGGAAGTCATCATACCCCAGTCCTGCATGCACATGACCATTACGACTTACATCTAGATGTCCCCCCAAAGCCTTCTGTGCTCAGAGGCTGTGCGTGTGGGAAGTGACTGGATTGGGCCTGTGATACCGGGGCTAGTCCACAGATGGGTTTATGTCTGGGTGTGATGCTGGAAGGTGAAGCCAGGTGGGAGGACTGGGTCCCTGTGGGCGCGCGGCCCAGAGATAGCGATGATGCCTGTCCTCCCACCTCCAGCCTTTGCTGATTCCTGCCTGCCATGCCATGAACTCCTTCTTCCTTACCACGCCATCTTGCCTCAGAACCAGCCAAGTGTCGATCAAAACCCCTACAAATTGTGGGTCAAAATAAAGCTTTCCTCCTTTCAGTTTTGTCAAGAGGTCTTGCTCAAGCAAAGAGAAAGTTACTGAGACATAGTCAAGGCACTGACCAGGCTGCGTTCCCACATAGTTGTTCCCAGGGAAATATGAGTCCACCGGCACCTCCAATGCTTGGCTGGGAAGCCCTTGTGGCCAGTCCGCCTGTGGGGAAGCTGAAAGGAGAAGAAGTTTCAGGACACACAGCTGCACTTCTCCCTTTGCTGAGTTCCCACAGCACCCGTTTCTGATGTCCCTGCCTGTGGCTGCCATCACCGAGTGACTCAGGCAGAGAGGGAGACATTGTGTGCACGAGGGATATGTCATCTTTTTTGTGCCTGGGGATGCTTGGATGGCAGTGCCCAGAGAGGACTGGCCCTAAAGGGAACAGTCACCCTTGCTCTAAAAATGCAAAA